GAATCGGAAACAGGCTCCAGGCTCTGAGCCATCAGCCCAGAGCCCGACGCGGGGCTCGAACTCACGGACCGCGAGATCGTGACCTGGCTGAAGTCGGACGCCTAACCGACCGCGCCACCCAGGCGCCCCTAAGCTAATATGTTTTTAAAGACAATCTGAGTAGAATACACTTTTGATTAAAAATAATCAATCGTGGTTATTGTCTCTTCTGTTTTGGTTCTAATTAATGCTCTAGGAGGCTTGCTAGAAGGATGGGCAATGTGGTTTACTTGTTTTCATTCCTTTTGGTTGACTGCAGAATCTTTGCCAACTCCAGTCTTCAGCATTTGGCACAAATATGTCAAATCTGACTCCATTTCCTCCCCCAAAACATTCATTTTCAGTATCTTTTAGCTCAAAAAGTCCAAAGTAAAAAGTATATAGGTCTCAAGAGAGACAGATATCCATAGCCATAAGAGATATCTCAAGAGACAACCATTTTCATTCACATCCCATGTCCCATTCCAAACACATATTGAAAAAAATGATCAGAATGGACAGTATATAATAGGTTAAAGAAACACCTGCCATTAAAATTTTATAAAAATAAAAATAAATCACAAAAATAAAGAGATGCGTGGCATCATTTAGTCTTAGTTGACCTTTCTATGTTGACAACATGGAACCATAGAGTCGGATGACAAAGTTCTGTGTAACAGATGACTGAATTGCAAGAGAAAGTCTGAAGCAGCCTCTTTCAGAAGCTACTTAACATCCTAATTTTCTATGATTTTGTATAAAACTGTGAAATTATATAAGCCAGGCAAACTCACATCAAATTAAGACATCTATACACTCTGGAGGCCTATTAAAGTATTTTAGATAATATATCAATCTAAATGCACCCAAGATAGAAGTGTTTTAATGTCACTGGTAAGACTTTTCACTGGCACCACTATCCTGGAACAATGCTATTTTCAAATTGCTACTTATTATGACTCAATATTCTAGAAATTTGTGTACTTTCACATAGATAATGATGACCCTGAATTTAGGAGATTGCTATGTCAAAGATTGGAGCTATTAAAGGAACACAGTTTTGTTCTGATGCTTATCCTATTTTGGCTGTATTTTAATCGGGCATTGTTAGATTTTTAGTCATTCCATTAAGATCTCATAAAATACTGTGTGGGAGTAGAGAAAGGGAAAGAAAGGGTAGGAAGGGTAAGAAATAGATTAAGTATATGATGGAGGTAGAGGTAGATTGATTTCAAGTTAGAAAAGAGTAATCTCAGCCACAATGCCATAAAGCAATAATACACAAAAGTTAATAACTTACGTATTGTGATGGTGGATTTTATGTGTCAACTTGACGGGGCGAAACAATACCCAGATAGCTGGTAAAATATTATTTCTGAGTGCATGTGTGAAGGTGTTTCTGGAAGAGGTTAGCATTTGAGTCAGGAGACGGAGTAAAGGTGGCCCTCACCAATGGGGGTGGGCATCATCTAATCCGTTGAGGGTCCGAATGGAATGAAAAGGTGGCAGGGTGAATTGCTCTCTGCCTAAGCTGGAGCATTCATCTTTTCCAGCCTGGGACACTGGCTTCCCCGGCTCTCAGGCTTTCAGATTCACACTGAATTATACCAAGAGATCATCTTTCCTGGTTCCCCAGTTTACAGATGGCAGATGATGAAACTTCTTGGCCTCCATAATCACATAAGCCAGTTCCTATAATAAACCTTCTCATAACTGTATATTATGTCCTATTGGTTCTGTTTCTCTAGAGAATCTTTAATAATAAACATACCAAATGAGATACAGGGAGGGTAAATAATTATTTTATTTATGAACGTTTCTTTCAAGAAGTTCTCGCTCTTTTATAAGGCAATCTTCTGTGGAGGAAAGAACACAGATTCCAGATTTAATTTCCAGCTCAGCCATTTTAATAAATGTGCGTACCCAGGAAAATTAGGTAACCTTGCAGAGCCTCGGTTTCCTCATCTGCTGACAGATTATCTTGGTAATTGAAGTTTGTGCTGAATATAGATCACATACCACAGTGCTTAGAATATAGAGGGCACTCCTTTCCAATCTTTCCACATAGTGTTTACCCATAAATATATTGTTTTCCATTGACTTTTTTTTTAATTTTTTTTAACGTTTATTTATTTTTGAGACAGAGAGAGACAGAATATGAATGGGGGAGGGACAGAGAGAGAGGGAGACACAGAATGGGAAGCAGGCTCCAGGCTCTGAGCCATCAGCCCAGAGCCCGACGCGGGGCTCGAACTCACAGACCGCAAGATCGTGACCTGAGCTGAAGTCGGACGTTTAACCGACTGAGCCACCCAGGTGCCCCTCTACTGACTTTTTAAAATGTTTCTAGATTTACCTAATATTTATGTCCTTTTAAAATGGGTCTTGTAGGGGCGCCTGGGTGGCTCAGTCGGGTAAGCGTCCAACTGCAGCTCAGGTCATGATCTCACAGCTCGTGAGTTCTAGCCCCATGTTGGGCTCTGTGCCGACGGCTCAGCCTGGAGCCTGCTTGGGATTTGGATTCTGTGTCTCCCCCTCTTTCTCTCTCTCTCAAAAATAAATAAATAAACTCTAAGAAATAAATAAATAAAACGGATCTTTTAAATTTTCTCTAGATTCATCAAATGTTTCTACAAAGTTGCCTTTAATATTTCCCGTTTTGTTTCTTCTGGAATCGTCCACAAAAGTTAGACTGTGAGCTGAACCAGATGGCTCACCCATTTTCCCAATCGGCCCAGAAGAGTCAAGATTTTGTAGCATCTTTGAAAATCAGGGCCATCTGATGACTCTGACTTTCATAAGGATTCCTGAGGAGTAACCCAAGAGAGAACATCTGAAAGCATATGTAAATTGCCTGGAAAGCCAAAATATTAAAATGAGAACATCTTGGACTGTTAGACACCCCTAAACAAGTCAGCGTTGAGTTTCTCCTTACTTTGCATTAGCGGGATGGCATGTGGTTAGATTGGCCAGGGCCAGGGAGGCGGCCTCCCTCACTTCTTCACTGTCACTCTTCAGCAGCAGGATTAACTGTGGAATCCCTACAGAAAAAGAGGGGGAAGATGTGGTTTTGTGAATACCCAGCTAAACTACAACTGGGGACCTAAAAATGTTCGAAATGGTTTTTTCTGCTTTGCTTACCCTGGTTATTGAAAAATTCCTTGCTGCCCGTATTCTCACACATTGCCGAGATCGCTTGGGAAGCGGCAATTTTAGTTCCGTCGTTTTCAGAGCCCAAAAGGGCTACGAGGCATTTTTCAACCCCTTGTTCGTGAAAAAGTTTTCTATTTTCAGCTTTCATAAACCAAAAGGAAAAAAATTAATCAGGATTTTGCCGCAAAAAACCATGCAAGGGTAACTACTTCCTCATCTAAAATGTGACAGGAGGTTCCAACTGTTTCTTAGCCTCAGTCACAAAGCTCTACACTAAATAAAATATTCCCCCACTCGACCTCTAGAACACAGTGACTATACAAAGTGACTTATGAATATTAAAACTTAAGTTCCTGTTCCCTTGTATGATATCAGTACTAGGGCAAAGAAAATTCTACGATAAGAAAGAGGCAAGTTTCAGATTTAGCGAAAATTTATTTAACGCCAGTCATGCTGCCTGGCACGGTGCCGTGTTCACACAATGCTGTCTTCTCACTAAGGACAAAACCCTGTTTGGGGCGCCTGGGTGACTCAGTCGGTGAAGCGCTTAATACTAGATTCGGGCTCTGGTCACGATCTCCCAGTTTATGAGTTCGAGCTCGCACGGGGCTCCGTGCTGGCAGGGTGGACCCTGCTTGGGATTCTCTCTCTCCCTTTCTCTGCCCCTCCCCAGCTCTGTCTCTCTCTTTCTCTCAAAGTAAATGAATAAAGACTTTTTTTTTTTTTTT